AACAGAGTCTAAACCTAATTCTTCAACAGGAGACCTTACCTGCACAAGGTCATCTTTGGTTCTGTGATCTTTCACATACTTGCCTGTGTGTCAAGATAGTCTTGTTTAACAGAAGCTGGAATTCTCTACCATTCCATGCTGCACATTATCAACAAAACACAGCGATATTGATGCATCTACAACATACACAGATTTTGTATATGTTAAGAGATTTCTGTTTGCCCTCATCTCCTTCTGATCCAGTTCTATTTTTTAGCTCCTTTGCATATCCAAATCAGATATCAATCTTTGCTATCAATTGACTGTGGAATGCTTTCTCTAGGGAGGCTTGACTTGGGCCTATGCTGATGACATTTCATGTCCAGCCCTTTTTAGTTCCCCAATTCTTTAATACAGACTCCTTTTATCTCCGAGAGGTTCTTATGCTGTTCTTCTTAGATTGTGGCTCTTGCTGCTTTTATGTTTTGAAATGCTTTTTATTGCATGTGTTTTATTTTGTGTTGTAAACTGCCCTAGGAATTGAAGGGTGGACTCTGCATTTCAATAAAAAACCCCAAGTATCTATCTTTTCCTTTTGCAAGTATATGACATCGTATGAAACAAATAAGTGCTACTTCTGGCTCTAAAGGCAAATAATTTCTTCTTTATTTAAACATGTAGAAAAGACTTTACTTCCATTTCAGTACATTGTATTTAATTAATCCAGTCAATGAAAAGTTAAGTTTGTTAATATAATGATGCTTTCACCCATCATCTGCTATGGACAGGCTGATTTACCTAGGGATGTTAATGTACCAAATTAAATTACTGGCCTCAGGGAGGATTGGTTTTGAACTCTTTAGTTTAAACAATTGAATCAAATTAGTTTCCTTTGCCATTTTAATACTCATTTTTAAATCAACTCCTCCACTCCAAAGTTTGACAGCTTGGAAATAACATCCCTATTACATAGAATAATATATAATCTAGTTCAAACTAGAGCTCATTTGAAAGTTAGTGAAAACTTGCAATTTATTAAGGGCTTTTCCTAATAAATAATTGTTTTAATCATCCTGAGGTACTGATGAATACAGTGGTACCTCGGGTTAAGAACTTAATTTGTTCTGGAGGTCCGTTCTTAACCTGAAACTGTTCTTAACCTGAGGTACCACTTTAGCTAATGGGGCCTCCCGCTGCGCCACCACCGCTCAATTACTGTTCTCATCCTGAAGCAAAGTTCTTAACCCAAGGTACTATTTCTGGGTTAGCAGAGTCTGTGACCTGAAGCATCTGTAACCTGAAGCATCTGTGACCCAAGGCACCACTTTAATGCACTGAATGTTACACTGTAGAAAGTATGAGAATGGTCTGGTAGCATATTCTTCTTTCTTTACGAAGTGTCCATGGGAAGCATTGCTTTGACATGAGCTCTGGACATACATTTGAGAAGTAAACTTGGGTCTAGAATAGATCATTGGTAATCAACTGTGGGTGGGCAGAGGTTTCAGGGGGAAATGGGCTGGTAGGTGAAGGGTTAAGCATCTCCTCCTCTGCTCCTTTTGTTTAAAACACTCACTCTCATTGATGCCATGCAACTGAGAAGGGGCAGTCTAAGCTTTAAAATGTGGAGCTGCAGTCACCTGTAATTTGTCCCAGAGTGGCCAGAGCCTCACCAGACGGTGTGGATGTTTATTGCATTTTCCCATGTCAGGGTAGGGCTTCCCAGTCTGCTCTGAGCAGATAATTGTGGGGGACCTGTTTCCTGCACAAAACCAGGAAAGCTGTAAGTATGGAGTGCTGCAAAAGAGCAATGAAATTTCAGACAAAAATGAATATTACTGTTGCATGTAAACCAGAGTTGTTCTAAATACTGTTTGGGTAGAAATGTGCAGCAGGCATGGTCTTCTGTGAGAGAGTTCCATGAGGGATCTTGTCATATAATTGTCTAGTGATGGAGATTGCCCTCTTTTGTCAGATATTCCTTTAGCCACAAAAGGCTTTAGGAGCTTCCATTGTACTCCAGTATCCCTATGTCTAGGACTGTCACTCCTTTACATCTGTCCACTATGAATATTTTCTCTGTACTTGTGCTATTGGTTTTTAGTGTCTAGTGACCAGGATGGGTGATTGTCTTTTATATGTACTATAAGGCATTGAGTTATAAAAAATCTGTCAAATGGAATGGCTGTGTGCTTTGGGTTAAAATGAATCTGGTGTGTTTAATAACAAACACAGTGGTTCTTTAACACCAGTCTTATATATGATTATATACCAGACACACAGGGTTCAGTGTCGCAGTCTTCACTCTGAGAGGATGATCCATGATAAAGCAACCATTTATTGTTTTCCCATAAAACACAGACTCCCTCTTTCCCTCATGTGAAAAGAAACACTACCTTGTGTATAGCACGTGTCTGTGCATGCACACACATTTAGCACCAGAGTTTGCATGTAAAAATAAGATTTTTAGTTTTTAATTGGCCATTGCTGTATTTGCACATTTTAGCAGAGTGCCAGTACTATAAAATATTAATGGAAAACTCCATGAAAATCCTATAGTGCCTGATTGAATGAGGAAAGACAAGGTTGTAAGGTTGATACTGCAGCAGTTCTAGTGATTGCTGGTGCTATGCCATAATTGCAATTTTCTGCATTAATACCACTTCAGAGTTGGTGTTGTGTTTGAGGCAGATTTATTTTCACCTCCTTTTGCCCCTGAAAACAAAGAGAGATAATCTCAATCAAGGCTGTTTGTGAAAAATTAGTCCTAACGATTCTCAGGGAACAGGGGCTGCTAATGTTAGATTAGGATTTGTGCAGCTTCCACGGCATAGTACATTCATGTTATTTTAATTTATTCTGATTGCTCTTGTACTCATTGCTGGAAATATTGCTCTCTACAGAAGCCCAATAACGTGGCTACAGAAGTGTGAGATTGCTACCAGTCCATCTGCATAAAGCAGCAGATGGGTCGCTGGAAATGCCCATTTACTCCCTTCTCAAAGACCTGAGTGTGCCTCCTGTAGTGCTCTCACCATCTAGCAGCTATGCTGTGAGAAAGACAATTGACACGTTATTCCGGATCTCTGCACAGGTCCTGCTTGTTTGCAGGCTTCATCTACCTCTATTCCAGACATATTTCTGCTGTGTTAAGTTTAATGCTTGTGATTTCTTTTTAATAGTATTCATGAAAGAGACTGATGGCGCTGGGGCTTGAGCTTAGCCCAGTGGTAGCCCAGTGTTTTTGTGTAGGATTTTACGACGTACAGTAAATTGGAAATATGCCATAATTCACATATACACCACTCTTATCTCGCACATTATTTTTTTGTCAGAATTCTGCGGCTTATTGACAGTGTCAATAAAACAGTGGTGTTCTGACGGGATGGAAACTACTCAGAAAAAAGAAATAAGAGCGTAGATGTAATATGTACACTATTGACTTAACAAATTCATGGTGCAATCCTATTGTTTACTCAGAAGTAAGTCCTGCTGTGTTCCTAGTAAATTTGTTTAGGATTGCAGCCTAACTTGAGGGAACAAAAATGGAGAGTATTTTGCATGCAAGGATGTCGTGAACATCCATAATACTACCCTTATTGCATGACAAATACTTTTTTAATTCTAAAAGACTGCAATTAATAGTTTTTGTTTGTTTTTTAAAAAATTGTGGTTCCCAAATAAAATGAACACAGTTGCCCCTCCTCATGCCCTCTTTTTATTCCACTGTTCGCTCAACTTAATGGCACCAGTAAATGTAGTTTACACCTTAAGCTACAGGTAAATTAATTACAGTAACTCTGAGCCGGCTCACAACAAGAGCTTACCAGTAATATATTTAATGCTATCACGTTTTAAATTAGTCCAATAAATTGAAAAACCTGTAACTTGTCAACTTTTCTGTTTCATTCTGTGTCTAATGTTGAAAGATTGCCTTTTCATTAAGGAAGCAGTAAATTAACATTTGATAGCCTGACAGCTTTCAGTGCACACAAATGTGATTCTAGCATATTTTGGTGTGCTGAATTAACAGGGCCTGCCTCAGGATTTTGGTTGTCCAAAAGCAAGAATACAATCTTAATCAGCAAAAGGCTAAGCCAGTGGGGCAGGCAGACTAAGATAGTGCCGCTGCCCCCCACCCCCGCCAGCATGACTTGTGAGATCAAACTTAGCTGCATGCAAAATTATTGATTTTAATTTTTAAAAATTCATCTCCAAACTCTTACCATGGTGTAATAAGCAGCCAGCTTCACCAGTGTCCATTATAGTACTGCCCAGAGCCAGAGCCTTGTATGGCTTTGTCCAGCTCCTTTGGGCATCCCCATTGGGCCACTTTGCATCTCAGCCAACAATCCATGCACTACCAAAAACAACATAGAGGGTAATTCTGTAAGTTAGTTCACCACTGTGTCCATCCAAAAGGAAGATGGAACTGGCCACTGTCATTCATGTCCTCTTTACCTCCAGGTTGGACTACTATGTAGGGCTACTCTTGAAGACCACCCAGAAACCTCAGTTGGTCCAAAATGTTGCTTTCAGATTGGTAGCAAGGCCTGGCAGTGTGGGTGGCTTTTTTCAGCCGGAATTCACTGAAATGAGTTCTGGCACCTCTTTGGTGCTTTCCTGCAGCTCTTTAGTTTGGGGCCGTGCGCCAGTGGGCGGCATGGCGCTTGGGGCTGCGTAATGCGACAATCGGGTTGTTGTGGCAGTCGGGTTGGCCTTTTAAACTGTGTGTGGAAGGGTGTATTTTTATTGTTTGTTATTATGCTAGATCTTTTTGTGCATTTTTTTTATGTTGTAAACCACTCTGTGATCTTTGGATGAAGGGCAGTATAGATATTTAATAAACAACAGCAACAACAGCTGCCAGGTATACAGAACAAGAATGTATTTCATCATTCTGTTTTATAAGTTTCTTAAATAGTTGTCTACTTTAATTCCAGTAAATTTGGGGCACTGTAATTCTCTCTGTCTTGATATTATGACAAATTAAGGCTTTGGCTTTTCTTTCTTACAAACAGGTGCTGCTAACTACAACAGGTTTTATGTTTTCTGCAAAAGTTTCTGCCAAGCTGTGAAACCTGGAAAGCTTCGGGTCCGCTGCAAAACTTGCAAACAAGGGACACTGACTCTGGCAAGGGTAGGCAAGCATTTGTATATTTTTCAAAAGCATATGGAGAACTTTGAAGTGATTGGCCAGTAAATATTGTGAAGAAACTCTGAATTTGGTGGCATATAACGTTTTGTCTATCATTTGTCTATTTATAACACCCTTCCTAGGGAGGTCCTCCTGGTGCCTTTGTTTTTAGTGTTCATTACCGAGCAAAACTCTTTCTAAACTCTTTCTTGTGCTCTTGTCCGATTCAGTTAGCTTGTTCGGCTCTGGTTGATGATTGTTCAGTTTCTCATATTTTGTTTCCAGTCTTTGTGATGAGTTTTATTTCCTTTTATTGCTTCTACGTTGTGATTTGGACTGTTGTTGTTTTATTGTAAGCTCTTCTAACCATTTCTTGGTAGGGGGTATAAAACAATATTTTAATGACAACAGCTCTTGTGGAGGTGGTGCTTCCAAGAAAATATAAAGGGATTTGTGATCATATAGCATACAATAGCATCTGGGCAGGCAAGGGGGAAGGGGGCTATAAATATTTTAATAAGGACACCTCGGTGGGTTGTTCTTCCATGAAAACACAAAGAAATTTGTGATCATGCAATATGCCACAGAATCCTGGAAAACAATTAAAGTTTGAGGGTAGGTTGTATATAAGTTACAAACCAGTAATTTTAATTAGATGTTTAAATGATAAAAGTTCTTCCCTTCCACACCTATTCCAAAAATAAATCTCACTACAATGGAATATGTGTCACAATAATGAAGAAATAGATCCTCTGAGTATGTGCACAGAGTGTATTTCCATCACCATTAAATCAACTCTAAATTTTACAACTTTCCCCTGCAGAACTGGGTTTGGGAAGCAGGGGAGTTAGTAGGCTCAAGCCTTGGCATCATTTTTCAAAATTAAGCACCACAGTGTTTTCAGAAACAATAAACATCAAAAATTTATTTAAGGCATTTTAATAGGGCTCAGCCTGATTTATGGCACACAGGTGAAGATCACCAGTGAAAAAAACCATACCCATTCTTAAGCAGAATTCAAGAACACTGCTCCTCTTCAGCCAGACCAGCTATTTGGATTTTTTGAAGACTTATTTCTGCTTGAGGAGAAAAGAGAAAACTATGTACGTGTTCATTGCAACCAGACATGGATGCCAGCAGTTTTGTAAGCAAAAGTTAGTGGTCCGAAGCACAAAAGCCTCTCAAGATCTGCTAAGAGACTTCTTTTTCGCCAAATATTCTTATATTTTCTCGTCATTTTCAACCTGTTTCCAATCTTTTGCTCTTTGGGAGGGGAATGCAGCTGCCCTGCTCACTACTCCAGCAAAGGAAAAGGGACTGGAAATCAAAATGTCTTCATTTGAAAATATTTTAGGGCACCTTTCTAAGTACAGTACAGCTCATCCAAGGTGGCTCACATAATAAAAAGTCAATGCAATATCTACAATGCAAGTTGTAAAACAGGACATGTTTGTTTTTCTAGCACAAGGAATAATATGTCACATTCCCCTCTGAATTAACAGAACTAGAATCGCTAAAGCTCACAAACGCAGCAGGTGGGATTCAACCTCCGAGTCACATCAGTGGAAGCTTTGCACAAGCGCCTCTGCCTGCTCAACCCCTCCTTCCCCCTGAAATTGGCTCTTGTAGGAGAATCCTAGAACAGCGTGTAAGGAGAAAGGAGAGGGGATCATTCTGTCCAATGAGCTGCAATGCTTGCACAGACAGAGAGATTGTAGCAGCGCAAGGTTGAATTCTAACTCAGAGGCCAAAATTCAGTTCTGTACATAAAAGTAAAACTGAAAGATGCAGTCTACATTGATTTTCTGTTTCTCTCATAGCTTTCATTGACTGTTTCAACTTTTGTGTATGTTTTGGTAATTAGAGGTTTCCACAACATCTAATACATCTATAGATTTACTGCAATCCTTTGTTATTGGCCTGTTTTCATGCCTAAAACCATCTGCTCAGCAGTTTTGCAATTTGAGTATTGGCTTGGCTTACTTTGAAATTGGCATTTGATTTCTTTTTCTTTTTTGTATTGACTGTGAAGCTGATTATTCCTAAACTCTACATGTAAATATTTCCTCATAAGAAAGGGACCTTTAAAGCAGAGATGGAGGCAAATTTTATCTGGTCTTCATTTTTAAGCTAGTTTGCCTGATCCATATGTCCCGGAATAATACTCAGATCAGAATATAATTTTGGATTTCATGTTCCATTTAGTTTTATGATATAGTTCTTGACTCTAAACATATACTAAAACCTATTTTACAATGTGTATTTTAGGCTAAAGTATGCTTACAGTGTGTACATTAAAATAAAATGAGAATTTAAGTACACATATTATTATTATTATTATTATTATTATTTAAAAATGTTGACAGATTAATGCGGAAACCGGGTGAAATGATCTTATGAGAACATATGAAACTGGTACAGAAGGCAGCCTTCTCCAACCTGGCGCCCTCCAGATGTTTTGGGCTTTGACCTGCCTGTGGTGGCTGGGGCTGACAGGAGTTAGAGTCCAAAACATCTGGAGGGTGCCAAGTCAAGAGTTCCCCTGAAGAAGGGATCTAGGGAGGATACAGGAAAGCACAAATTGGTTGGCTTAACGTCTGCCCTGCCCCCTTGTTAAAGTGGCCTTTAGGGCAGAGCTCCTGTTCCCCACCCCTATACAATAGCAAGCCCAAAATGCCATACTCAGTTGAGTGCAGCACCTTCTTAACTGATGCTGCAGATAGTACCTTTTAAGAGCAGTGTGATGGAGGCTGTGTTGCACATGGGGTATACAATTCATTTCACTATCATCCCTGGTTCAATAAAGATTGGCAGGTTTTTGCACTACAGTCATACCTCGGGTTGAACATGCTTCAAGTTGAGCGTGTTTGAGTTGCGCTCCGTGGCAACCCGGAAGTAACGGAGCGTGTTACTTCCGGGTTTCGCCGCTCGCGCATGCGCAGACGCTCAAAATGATGCGCAGAAGCGGCGAAAAGTGACACATGCGTGTGCAGACGTGCCATCGCTAGTTGTGTTTGCTTCTGGATGCGAACGAGGCTCCGGAATGGATCCCGTTCGCATCCCGAGGTACCACTGTACATGAAAAACCTGCTGGACCTGTTTGACCAGACACGATAACAGGATCTTACTTATTTGCGCCATCTTTGCCTCAAGTTTTTCTTCTTTTCTTTTTCTTTTTCTGGTAAGCAACATATAACACTTTCTGTGTTTTTAGCTTTTACTACTTTATCTGTAAGCCACCTTGAGTCGCAGTCTGGGAAAAAGGTGGGGTATAAATAAACCTTCATGTATGTCACCACAGTACACATTTCTTGTTTCATAGGTAACATGGCAGAACATAAGCCAGCATTTGTTTCAATTATGCTCTTTTATTGGCATGAAAGTAAAACCTGTGTAAAATCCACATAAAATGTTGGGCAGCATTAACTTTCTTAGGCAACTTAATCCCTTTTGGGCCGGTAAGCTGGGAACAGACAACTTAATTGAATTGAACTTCACGAACACGCTCTTTTTCCGGCAGGAAGACTGACATTTTAAACATTCATAAGTAACCTTACTTTAAAACCCTCTTTAACTGTCATGCCTATTTGCATATTATTATTTTAAAATATGTTAGGAATGAATTTAGCATTTACAGAATGAGAGGAAAGCTAAAGAATCTCTTTTTTATACAAGAAAATTATTGATGACTTGAAGGCTGAATTTTATGAGTATTTCATGACTTACTGCTGTATGAGAGATTTGTTTGGAACTGGGTTTCATGATCAGGAAGCATCACTAGCAGTGCAAAGAAAGAGGCACATTAAGAGTCCTGGATTATACCAAGAAATATTGATAGCTCAAGTCTTGCCAAGAGTATCCTCAGACATGCAAAGTTAGTCCAGAAGCAGTAAGTGCAAGTGAGTTTTCCTTCTGGCTTTCAAACGTATTCTTACAACGTTAAAAACTGTAAAATCATTGTGGCTGGTTTGTGCACTGTGCGCATTGTGTGCTGCTCATGTAATGTGTGCTGATGCTTGTTGGTATAAAGGCTGCTTGGTATGGAAAGGCCACTAGGTCCCCCCTTGTGCTCCTTGCCCTCTCTGTCTATCTTGTATATTTGTAACAAAACAAAACAAAAATTCTTTGTAGTAGCACCTTAGAGACCAACTAAGTTTGTTATTGGTATGAGCTTTCGTGTGCATGCACACTTCTTTAGATACACTGAAACAGAAGTCACCAGACCCTTATATATAGTGAGAGGGTGGGGAGGGGTATTACTCAGAAGGGTGGTGGGAATGGGTGATTGGCTGATAGGTGTGGTAAACCTGTTGACGACTGTTAACGACTGCAATTGGTCTTATAGGAAAAAGCAAGGGGTGAGATGGCTAAAAATAGCTTTATCATGTATAATGAGATAAGAATCCAATGTCTCTATTCAGACCAGGTCTCTCCATGGTTTTAAGTTTGGTAATAAGTTGCAATTCAGCAACTTCTCTTTCCAGTCTATTTCTGAAATTCTTTTGTAACAGATAGTTCGGTGTAATGTGTGCTTGTTAAACTGCAACAGATATTTGTGATAGGGCTAGAATCTTCTATTTGTGTTGATGTGTTGTCTTGATTTTATAGGGTTGTGCCCTTTGGAGTTATAATTGCGCCAAAACAATTGCTAGCTAGCAGCATGATTGTTTAGCCAAATAGTTTTTCTTAACTGAAATACAGCACCAATATGCTTTAAGAGATTTGGGGTGAGGGAAGGAATTAAACCAGAGAAGCTTATTTGTTTCAGATTTGAAAGTTTTCACATCTTTCATCAACTTGATAGAAACGATCATTTAAGCTGCTCCTCAACATGACTTAGCCTGTGCTTATAGACTTTTCACACTTCCTTTTCAACAGCACACACTGATTTGTTTCTATATAACACTACGAATCGCAACGCCATAAACACATAGATTGGGAAAAGCTGACTTGCCTGTCACTACCATTAAAATGTGACAAGCATCAGTAGGAATAGACTAAAG